TTACGCGATATTCAAATTAGGATCAACCCTATCGTTGTTACTCTTTGGAAATTTTTTACGACCCCCCCCCTTCATGGGTGATTTGATACGACCCCCTTGTATGTGACACTTGTGTAGAGACAGTGTTTACCATCAATATTTATTTCTACGTAAGTCATCAAAGATGAAACTTTAGCAAAATCCACGACAGATATTCATCGCTGCTTCCAAACACGAAAAAATGAGATGCATTCAAAGATATCCGTGTACTCCAAAGGGTTACCAAACTAGGAGATGAAATAAGCTGAACCAGTGACCGGAATATTGACAATATTACCTGATAAAAACTTATAAGAAGTCAGAAAAAATTATCGCTCAGTGAATATTATACTAAATCCTTCACGTGTTCAATGTGACATATTTTTACACTCCTATTTCTAGGGCTAGATATAACTTTCCTTCATATTCGAGCTTCAGCGCCGAAGTGATTTGATTTGGAAAATTCAAATTATTTTCTATCCAACCATGGGTAAAAATTCTTCGGAAGTCAATTTAGTAAAAATTTTGTACGTTGTTACTTTTTTCTGTGCAAAGGCGACTTTTTGACCTTCAAACGATCATAACTTCCTTCAAAGTCATTCATTTGGGAAGCTGAACACGTATAATAAACTACAGGATTCAAGCTTTCTAACGAGCACCCAAGCGTTCTGAAAGATCAGCAGTTCAAAAATTAGTCCCGTTGTTACTTTTTATTTTGAGGGGTATTCTTCAAGCCATTTTCTCGAAAACGCGACTTTTCTTAGGTTTCACTGCCCGTAACTTTTGGCAGCAAATTTAGCGACTCGTCCGCTGACTCTGGCATTCTTGCCGCGCGACGGGCCTCCTGGGATGTACCCATAACCCACACATAGTCAATCACGATATCTGCCTTCAAAAGCCTATTCCAGTGCTCCTTCGCCCCGCCTCATCTCCATCAAGCTTTACAGCGTGATGTGCCAAAATGCTTATCCATTGTGTTTCTCTATGCACCTTTCAGCGCGCCTTGACCGAAAAGGATTGCATGGTGATCACTTATGATAGATGAGCATATACTCGTGAAAAGCTCACCGAAAATCGCCGTGCACAATCGTGACGTCGCCGCCATCGGCAGGAATGTTTTTCCGAAGGAAATCGTGCAGCTGATGCATTTCGGGAATATCATCTGTCTTTGCCATCTCGTAATTCTTCGCCCATCGTTCGAGATTCCTTTGCATGTAGCCCTCTACAAATTCTGGCCATAGCATTTCTGGTCGCATTTCAGAACAAAATTAAACTTACCTTTTCGACCATAATCACCCAGACCAACTTTACCATGGTTCACGGTATGGATTTTGCCGAGTGTGCGAATAGCCTCGTTATAGATCTCTCTCCGTTCATTCGGTTTTAGTTCGGGGAGAGCTGGATCCATGAAAATTCGACCCCTTGTATATTCCATGAGGTAGAATGGGGTATCGAGGAGACTAAAAAAAGGACATAATTTGGATATACTAGAAGCTAGACAATAGACAAGCACCGGGATCAGGCTCATTAGTAGGAACCACACCACGACTGAACGTGTGAGGTCCGTCGTACCTATAGAGATGGTCACCTTCATCGCACAAAACGCGCGGTTAGGGCGCTATTCGTTACGGATTTGGAACCATCAACTTTCTGTGTAACCATCCCTGCCCACCGCGGTTGTTGTAAGGATCAACCATGACAGCCGTCCCTGTTGCATGCAATGCTGTTTCCGATTTAGCGGCTTGTAGCACTTCAGGATAAGTATTGGGTTGGAGAATAATATCGTAGTGCTTGCATTTTTCATTTCTTCACACAAGCATTTAAAACAAAAAAAACTAATAAGTGATGTTTGCTTTTTCATTATTTACAACTTTGACTGCTTTACGCAGGAGATCACCGGATATAGAATTTGAAAAAAATACTAAGCTCGTTTTCGGAGTTCTTACTATTCTCATTTCGTACGAAATGAGTACTGTTGTAATTTGAGCGAAAGATAGGGTTGTTTAGAGCAAGGTTCGTTTAAAACAACGGATTCAAAAGAACTTCCAATTTAGCGCTTTCCTTCTTTATTTGGGACCGAGAGGAATTGGTAGCTATCGAAACAGGCGATTTCCGCCGTCCGGGATTTTCCGACTTCTAAGCTCTATGCCTCAGCAAAGCTACAATGTTGAAGAATATTACAACTAAGGTTCTTGTAGAGCGGAAAGAGTACTTTCAAACGGGATGAGTTTTCAGGTAAATGTTTTTTAGCGGTTTTTCAGGTAATGCTTGTACTGACTGAATTTATGTACACGCACGAAAAAAAAAACGGTACGATATTATGCTCCAACCCAATATAAGATCGAAGGAGAGCAAATGATGCAGGCTGTGATGAAGGTCGTCCACCCACGCCTCTTTTCCATCCAAAGGTGGACTGCTGCAAAGAAAGAGGAGAGCCTTGTTCAGGGCGTGATCGGCGGCTTTTTTGCTTTCTTTTTCTCTTTCAGATAAATCTCTACTCCCAATTTCATAACTGAAAGCTCTTCACACGCATTTTATCTCAGGGCTTGCCTTTAAGAACATAACGGCACAGGGGCCCCCAAGCAAGACAGTCACCTAACTCGAACTTGGAATCGGTTTTAAAAACTACTGAAAACGGTCCAAAGAGAGCAGAAGAGATGAGTCGCAGAGCGAAGCGATCAATTGCTAGGTTACAGTATCGCAAAGAGAATTACCGCTCCGTGATCATGACGACTTTCATTTCAGTTCCATTATGAAGTTACATGATCAAGTCAAAATCCAGAAAATATCTGGCCAATTTATGTGAAATCACGCCGAAAAGTAAATAATGAAAGCCACTACTTTACCCATAATGCGTTCATGCTGCCATAGAAATTTAGCCATTGCAGCTCCCGAAAGGGCAGAGGTGGCTGACGCCTGAATGTGGCGCCACAGTTTGGGATTCGAACTCACCAGGGGTAAAACACTCATGAAGGGTCATCACATTGGTAAGAGACTTTCCTGGTAGGTAGGAGATTAACAAGGTTAGATAAGCATCCACTCACCCCTGCGAAGCTGAAGAGAATGAAAGCGTGACGTGTTCCAGGTAAATCGATCAATACCAATTACCCATTTTTATGTACCAAAAAGCACTCACTTTTCATTATACAGAATAACCTTCGGCACGGGTACGTGTCCGTCGAGTGCTTTCTGCACACGAAACTCTCGGTCGATTTGATGAGCTTTCGGCAGGAGATGACCGCTCTGAACGAGATTAGGTTTAGAGGAGGATTCCACGATAAGGTCGCAGGTCGAAGAAGGGCGAACCTATACAGTGGAAAGAAGGCGGACCCCTGAGGGTGCGGTTCGCAGCGAAGGATATGCCCCCAGAGATCTAGCATGGCCGTCCCCGCGCCGCCATCGCAGCGGCACGCCTCCCGTCTCAGCCTCTGTTCGTCTAGCAGAGAAAGCATTGGCGCTGAAGAGGGCAGCACCGACGAGTCG